GGAGGAACCTGAAACCATCCCCCATGCAAGGAAAATCTTTAAAAGGTGGGTTTCTACTAAAAATCACGAAGTTAGGCAACCCACTGTACTGATCAGGGCTGCCATCAAAATGTCAAATGTCAATTTTATTACTCGACAAATTTTGTTCAATTGCACAGCTAAATCGCGCACGTTATTTGTGTTTTACGTTGCAAGGAAAAAACTAAAAAACTGGTTTAGTACTCGATTTCGATTGATTATTCTTTATATCATTGATTAAGAAACTTAAATGCTTATATAGTTACGTTAGTGAGTGTATTTTATCTAAGAGATCATGGCGAATTATTGCGTTTTTAATTGTAAATAAAATTCAAGAACTAAATCGTTGCATTTTCATGTTTTGCCAAAGGATCCAATTCGGTAAGTGCATTTGTTGGTGCCGAATTAACTAATGATAACTTTACCTAATATAATTTATATTTAAGTTTGGACATTTTTAAGAAATTAGTAAAAATAATTTTTGCACAAACATAACCTTAAAATCAACCATTTTTTTTTTTTTTTTTTTTTTTAATTTATTAATAACCCAAAAAGAATACAAGATTCCATAACAGGTGCTATGTATAGAAAACATAAATAAAATATATATATATATATAACAAATACAGTATAAGACTAATATAATTTAACATTCAGGTACTTTTAATTATCACAGTGTTATCTTAAAGATATATAGTAGTTTTTAACTGATGTAGAGAAGGCTTCTATTGTTCTTTGGTTTTTGGTTGTCTCAGGGAGTATGTTGAACCACTTCAGGGCAGATTGCGTTATTCTCCTTTCTCCAAATTTGGTGGTGTTTGGATCTATGTGGTAGTTTTCGTTTGTTCTAGTATTATATGTGTGTTTGTCACAGTTTTTAGTTAAGTTAATTGTTGTATTTATCAGGTTTTTTTTGATTTTGTACACTACTTTAACACTGTCCAACATTATCTCCTCATTAATGTTTAATATATTCAATTCATTATATAGATCTGTAGTACTGGTTCGATAAGGTTTGTTAAATAAAAGTTTTAGAAGTCTGTTCTGAGTTATTTGCAAAGTCTTTAGGTCCTTTTTTGCTGCATGCCCCCAAAAGGCTGGAAGATATGTTAGGTGGGAATTAATGTAGGCATTGTATATTAAATATTTTGTTTTGTTGTTGATTAAATAAGCATTTCTTCTAAGATAGTAGCCTAGAGTACCAATTTTATCTTTAAGACTTTGAACGTGGTTACTAAAACTAAGATTGTCATCAATAATTAAACCTAAATATTTTGCACTATTCACTCTATCCAAAATTTGATTATTTAATTTTAGCGAATAGTTATCACAGTTTCTTCTATTTTTTATGACTAGATAGTTGCACTTAGTTTCATTGAGTTTAATATTGTTTTTTTAGTCCACACATTTATGACATTTAGGTCATTTTGGGCCCAACCAAACACTTCCTCCTCACTTCCGGAATAGAAAAGTCCGGTGTCATCCGCAAATAGGACTGATTCACCTTTTATGTCACATTTAGTTATGTCATTGACGTATATTAGGAACAGTAGAGGTCCTAACACTGACCCTTGTGGAACTCCATACAGAATTTTTTCCATCTTGCTATTTTTATTATCAATGTTGGTGTATTGGAACCGGTTGTGGAAGTAATTAGTTAATATTTTAAAGGCTCTATTTATAACTCCAATTTTCTCAAGCTTCTTTAACAGAATTTCAGGATCAACCACATCAAAAGCTTTACATAGGTCAAGAAATACAGCTAGGATTGTTTTTCTATGTTCTAAATTCTTATAGATATTTTCGGTTAGGTTTATTATCGCAGTTTGTGTGCTTTTTTTTTCTTGAAAACCATTTTGTTGATAACTTAAGAAGTTGATTTCATTCAAAAAGTTTATGAGTCTTTTGTGTAGGACCATTTCAAAAATTTTAGAGAATACTGAAAGCACAGATATAGGCCTGTAGTTTGCTAAGTTGGTTTTACTTCCTTTTTTGTAGATAGGGGTCACACGAGCAATCTTTAGGATATCTGGAAATGTTCCTAGTTTGAGATGCTGGTTGATTAACTTTGTTAGTGTAGGCACAAGCACTTTTGAAAGCTTTTTTACCGTTATGGCTTTTATTTGGTCATGTCCAGGACTAGCATTTGTTTTTAATTTTTTTATTATTGATAATATTTCCTCTTTCGTAGTATATTGTAGGTATAATGATTGATTTGAATTATGGTTTAGTGTACACTCTTTGTTTTTTGATGGTTTAATGATGTTTTTTACTATTCCTATAAAATATTTATTTGTTTCATCAGCAATTTTCTCGGGTTCCGTAATTTCTTTGTTGTTTATAATTAACTTTGAGCAACCTGTTTTGGACTCATTTTTACCTATCAGTTTTTTTATACAGTCCCATTGCTTCTTAGGTCTCCCATCTGTGCTTTCAAATTTGTGTGCTATGTGTTGTTGTTTGTTATGCCTTATAAGTTTCTTTACCATTTTTTTTAGAATATTAAACTCTATTTTATATTTTCCATTTGTTGGACACTTTACCATTTTGACATACATTCTATCTCTTTCCTTTACTTTATTGAGTACTTCCTGAGTAAACCAACCTTTTATGTTTGAGTTCTCTAAAAAACGCCGACAACTGCATTTTAAACAACAAAATATACCTACGAATTCATGGCAACATAATATTATATATAATACATAATATAATGGTATTTTACCGTTGAGTGGAGACTTTCTTAATCAACGCTTTTAATAATGCTAAATGCTGTTTAAATTTAGACGACTTATTTGTTTGACGATTTTTACTGAATTGAAATGTTTACACTTTTCACGTTAATCACTATTAAAATGTGTATTTATTGTATCTAATAGGTACAATTTATATTTACAGAGACTGCATGCAATTTATTTCATCATTCGGATTAACACTGTTTATTGAAAAATCGGTAAAAACTCAACCCAGGATTTCCTCTCGAAATACACCCAACAACACAACAAATCGAGCCACGGTTTTTCTCCGACATTTTCCGGCTTTATTCTCAAAAACTCCGTTTGTAACATAAGCGTTTGACAGGTGATTTAAAACGATTATTAATTTGTATAAACAGCACAAACCCAAAGCGCAAGAATTGTAGTTAGTGTCTGTATAGTTGGTTGCCTAACTTTGTAAATTTTAGTATGCGCGAAGCGATACGTGTGGATGGTGGCCATTGCTATGTTTAAATCTCTTTTTTTTTTAGGTTATATTATTTGGATTTGTTTGTAAATTGTGCACTTGTTGGATTGTTTTTGTGGTTTTTATATTCAATGATTAGTGTTTTGGACAATCCTTTGCAGTATACACCGAATAATTCAATATTAAAAACAATTACTTTAAAATAATTAGTATTAAGGATAACTATTAACCATATATAGTATTATAATAACTAATATTTTGTATGTACACAAAATTTATATTTTTATAAAAAATATATGTCTAATTAAGAACAACAATTTATTTTATTTGTACACTGAAAAAAATTTCTCTTTTGAATTAAGAAAAAGTTTTTTAGAATAAAAAAAGTGTGATTTTAACAAGAAAACTGCATCTCTTAATTGAAAAGCTTAGTAATTTTCTAAAAAAGAACATTTGTCTTGCTACAAAAGCATATACTAGTACTGATAGCAAAATTTGATTTTAAGAATCTTCTAAGAAGATATGACCCGGAATAATGGAATATTCTTAGAACCTTCCCTTATTGCTAAGAATGTTCTTAGGGACTTTTAAAACATTCAATAGGCACCCTTTTAATGATGCAATTAGATTCTTAAAACTTTCCTAAAAAACATCCTAAGAACATTTTAATAATACGTTTTTGGAATGTTCTTAGAAGGTTTCTTATGGAGCTTCTAGGAAGCATTTAAGAATATTTCCAAATATGTCAGATACCCACGTTTTAATATGTTGTATTCTATATTCGTAAAATTCTTCAGGAGGCGACAAATACGCCTTACTGTCATAATATGACAGTGAAATGTATTTGTCGTCCCCTTAAAAAAATTTGCTACATATTAATATATATTTATTTAAAAATATTAAATAAATAATTTGACCTCTAAACCATAAGTTGTATGACATTATTTCATAAAAAGTAAAATTGGAAAATTTTGTGGGATAAGTCAGATTAGATTTAAGTTGAAGGTAGTTGGGATTATTATACATAAAAATGTTAATTCAGAAATAAAAAATCGGTATACAAATTAATAAATATTTATTTTTAACATATAATAAAATACCTATAGTAAAAGTTTTTTTGTTATCGAATATTGTTTTAATTTGACAAATAACTATAAAAAAATATTTTGGATTGTGTTTTTTACTTAGTATTTAATACTAATTACTAATTAGGTACTTATACGTAGTTTATGGTATATTTTACTATTCTATAGGTAACTGAACAAAATATGCTTAACAGGAATATTCCTAAATTAACTTTCTATAGCAATTACTTTCTTAACATTCTAAGCATATATGCATATAATATATTATATTATATATAATATATTATGTTTAGAGTAGATTAATTTTTACCACTAAAACTTTGCACCTTCTAAGAACCTGCCTATAGGCCAGTAAGAATATTCTTAGGATCATGCTATATTTCTTTTAAGCATGTTCTTTAGAAGAAATATAGCATGATACTAAGAATATTCTCACTGGAAGGTTTAAAAAACATTCTTAGAATAAAGTGTGCTATCAGGGTACGTTATATCTATTTAATTTTCCAATGGAATATTTCCATGACAAGTGCTAAGCTTGTTGATGCAGTAATTCAATTAATGTAATTTTAAGTTTTCTCCGCAAACTAAAAAAAATACAGAAGCCCAACAACATTAAACAGACGCGCGTTCTTATTTACATAATGTAATAAATATTATGTATTGGTGTATGTTATGTAAACAGTTTTTTGTTATTCAATATGTTTTGGGAAGTTTGTAATTTGAAATATGTGCTGCTAATATTTTTGATACTATTTTTAAATTAATGTAAATAGATTTCAACAACTTGAGGTAATTACTAATAAGTATACCGTACGGAACTTAAAAAAAATATTTTGTTCTATAGAATCCAAAAGTGTTCACACAGTGCGGTAGACTTGCACCCTTGCATCTAGCAATCTGGGGCGATTCGAAAAATCAATATCGCAGCATCCTCGATTGCAGAGATGTGATGAAACGACGCAACAAATTTAAATAAATATTAAAATGTGATGAAAACGCTTTAAACCATGTTGATCGGGTGGATTTATTCTTATTTGTGGTACAGTAGCATTTTAGCTGGTAAGTCTGTATTATTTATTTTATTTTAAAGAAAAAAATATATAATTTTTTGTTTGTTTATTTTAGGTTATGCCGTTTTGTTTTGCCCCTTACTCCCGCTCATGTTTATTTCAAACAAACTCTACAGATATGTCACTGACGTTCTATTCAATTTTTGGCAATTTTACCCCACCGTAAGTATCATTGTGTATACTGAGTGTTTTTGAGAATTTTTAATATAAGTTCTTCTTTCACGAATGAATTTTTTCCAATTTTTTGTTTTCTTTTTTTTTAATAGTGGTTTCCATAAATGTTATATAATCCAAATAATAAAACCTATATTTCTTAACTTGGTTACAGGAATACTTATATCACTCTTATATACCCCTTAAAGAGCTTATTTGGGAAGTTTATGAAGGTTATCGGTACCCTCAGGCATATTTAAAATTTATCCCTGATAGCAAAATTTGATTTTAAGAATCTTATAAGAAGATATGACCCGGAATAATGGAATATTCTTAGAATCTTCCCTTATTGCTAAGAATGTTCTTAGGGACTTTTAAAACATTCAATAGATACCCTTTTAATGATGCAATTAGATTCTTAAAAGCTTCTTAAAACCTTCCCAAAAAGCATCGTAAGAACATTTTAAGAATACGTTTTTGGAATGTTCTTAGAAGGTTTCTTATGGAGCTTCTAGGAAGCTTTTGAGAATATTTCCAAATATGTCAGATACCCACGTTCTAATATGTTGTATTTTACATTCGTAAAATTCTTCAGTGAAATGTATTTGTCGTCCCATTAAAAAATTTTGCGACATATTAATATATATTTATTTAAAAATATTAAATAAACAATTTGACCTGTAAACCATAAGTTGTATGACATTATTTCATAAAAAGTAAAATTGGAAAATTTTGTGGGATAAGTCAGATTAGATTGAAGTTGAAGATAGTTAGGATTATTATACATAAAAATGTTAATTCAGAAATAAAGGATCGGTATAAAAATTAATAAATATTTATTTTTAACATAAAATAAAATACAGTAAAAGTATTTTTGTTATCGAATATTGTTTTAATTTGACAAATAACTGTAAAAAAATATTTTGAATTTTGTTTTTTACTTAGTATTTAATACTAATTACTAATTAGGTATATACCTTTATACGTAGTTTATGGTATATTTTACTATTATATAGGTAACTGAACTATATATGCTTACCAGGAATATTCCTAAATGAACTTTCTATAGCAATTACTTTCTTAACATTCTAAGCATATGTTTAGAGTAGACTAATTTTTACCACTAAAACTTTGCAACTTCTAAGAACCTGCCTATAGGCCAGTGAGAATATTCTTAGGATTATGCTATATTTCTTTTAAGAATGTTCTTTAGAACAAATATAGCATGATCCTAAGAATATTCTCACTGGAAGGTTTAAAAAACATTCTTAGAATAAAGTGTGCTATCAGGGCTTATATTGATCATGGTAATTTTATATAACCTAAGGTACTAGTTCATCGAAAGCTAATACTACTGGTAACGGTTACTAAAGGTTATATAAAATGTTTGTAAAACCTTATATGACCATTATAAAACTCAAATAAATCCCTTTATAGGCTCTTCTCGAAATTTTATGCGGATGTAATATACAAGTTACCGGGGATCCTATAGTGGCTGGAGAAACTTCCTTAATCATTATGAACCATCGCACCAGGACGGATTGGAATTTTTTGTGGCCCACTGTGTACCATGCGGTACAAGGCCCCGGTAGATTAATGCACTCCACCAAATTTGTTCTGAAGGAAGTCATCAGGCACATTCCAGGACCAGGTATTTTTTTTATTTTATATAAAAACACATTTTTTATTTTTTTTTGTTACCTATATATAGGTTGGGTTATGCAGCTGGCCTGCTTCGCTTACATTAGAAGATATTGGACTGAAGACATGAGAACCCTCCAGAAATATTTAGATTACGTATCCGATTTAAATTACAAGTTCAGTTTGATTCTTTTTCCCGAAGGTACCGACTTTACTGAATCCACCAAAAGCAGCAGCGATAGGTTTGCCGAAAAAAACAATCTCCCAGTAGGTTTTTTAGACTTTTAAGGGTGAATCTCACGAAATGTCCCCCGATGGTGTTTAGTCTAAAACCTATCCTCCGTGACTGTTACTCTTTCTAGGTTAACGAATCAAATATAAAATATTATTAAAAATTAAAAGAAACAATTTTTATAACCATTTATGTAGGCGTTACAAAAATTGATTCTATCCTCCGTGAATCTGTTTTTGCTTTAAATTTTATGCAACGGATGGCGCTTTAATCGTTTTAAATAAGCAAAAACCTTTGTTTACGACATTATAGATGCATGTGATTCCTGAAGGTCAGTTAGAATTTATATGCAGATGAGAGTGTTGCTGTTTTATAATTCAAAAGTTTAAGTTCACTAATTTGCTATTTAAAAACCTATCCACCGTGAAGTTTAATATCTCAGTAAGTAGATTTTTTTATAAATATTTTATGTATTTTTAAAAAATATTAAGGTGTCAAAAGAAAGAATAACTTATTTCAAATATACAAAGAGATGTTTTTAAAAATACATACGAAATCCTATCCTCCGTGAAGCTATATTATTCAAAATGTATTCTTGCATTTCACTTGGGGGACATCTCAATATATTCACCCATAAATTAGGGAAAATTTCACCATTCGAACAAAAACTGTTTTTTGTAGAAATATGATTACCTATTACACCCAAGAACAACAGGATTTGCCTACATAACCTCAGAAATGTTGCTAAGAAAAACATTGGATGCGGTGTATGACGCAACCATTATTTACCCCGATATTGTACCTCAAAACGAGAAAATGCTTTTTAATGGCCACTTTCCCAAACAGGTCTTTGTTCATTTTGTGAGGTAAGATTTTTTCCCTGATAGCAAAATTTGATTTTAAGAATCTTCTAAGAAGATATGACCCGGAATAATGGAATATTCTTAGAACCTTCCCTTATTGCTAAGAATGTTCTTAGGGACTTTTAAAACATTCAATAGATACTCTTTTAGATTCTTAAAACCCTCTCAAGAACATTTTAAGAATACGTTTTTGGAATGTTCTTAGAAGGTTTCTTATCGAGCTTCTAGAAAGCTTTTGGGAATATTTCCAAATATGTCAGATACCCCGTTCTAATATGTTGTATTCTACATTCGTAAAATTCTTCAGGAGACGATAAATACGCCTCACTGTCATAATATGACAGTGAAATGTATTTATCGTCCCCTTAAAAAATTTTGCGACATATTAATATATATATTAATATAAATAAATTTATTTAAAAATATTAAATAAACAATTTGACCTCCAAACCATAAGTTGTATGACATTATTTCATAAAAAGTAAAATTGTAAAATTTTGTGGGATAAGTCAGATTATATTGAAGTTGAAGATAGGATTATTATACATAAAAATGTTAATTCAGAAATAAAAAATCGGTATACAAATTAATAAATATTTATTAAAAAAAAAAAAATACCTATAGTTTGTTATCGAATATTGTTTTAATTTGACAAATAACTATAAAAAAATATTGTGGATTGTGTTTTTTACTTAGTATTTAATACTAATTACTAATTAGCTACTTAAGTATAGGTATATATATTATACGTAGTTTATGGTATATTTTACTATTATATCACGGTGCTGTTCTGAGAGGTGATTTTTGGACTTTCTGTGAAACCTAATTTTTTTTATATTCTTGTTAATTAAGTCATAACTAAAATTTTAAGAGCAAAATAAAAAAAAAATTGACGGTTTGAATTGTTTTAATTGGCTGTTTATTAAAAGTATTATGCACTCTTTCAATTATCCAATTAAAACTAGGGATTTAATTTAAATATTTAATATTTGCATAACTAAAAAAAAGGTTTTTACAATTTTTTTTTATATATTTTACTGTTTTGTTGCAATAAACGTTCAAACTTTTAATCTAACCTTTGACGTATACATTTAAACATAATTATGTTCCCTTAATTAATATATCCTTAAAGGTTGCCATGAAACTTAGATCTATTAAAAATTTATTTGACGTTTGAATTGTCATTTTCAGTATACGTATTCTATAATTTTTGTTTAGTTTTTTAAAGTGTTTTTTATAAACAAAAATGAAAAATTGTAGTAAAAGTTAAGAAGAAATTCATGAAATTTAACTAAGGACCGGTTTATTCATCTTTAGTAAAGTTTATCGGGCCGATAACTTTCATGTCTTGGCAATATCTAGTATCCAAAGAAATTATTCGTCAAATAAATCAAAAATGAATAAGTCGGCCCTAAATAAAATGTGGCACCCTTAGAATTATTGTTTAATAAATGTATACTATACATTTTACCTTAAATTAAAACTTTAAACGTGTATTACAACAAAACAGTAAAAGATATAAAAAATGTATAGACCTTTTTTTAGGAAATTAACTAATCTTTAATCTGATTTAAAAAGTTATGATAATATTTAAATAAAATCGCAAGTTTTAATTGGAGAATTGAAAGTGTGCATACATATTTTTAATAAACATCCAATTAAAACAAAATTAACCGTCAAATTTTTTTTATTTTGCTCTTAAAATTTTAGTTATGACCATTAGGTCAACAAGAATATAAAAAAAAATTAGGTTTCACAGAAAGTCCAAAAATCACCTCTCAGAACAGCACCGTGATATAGGTAACTAAACTAAATATGCGTAACAGGAATATTCCTAAATGAACTTTCTATAGCAATTACTTTCTTAACATTCTAAGCATATGTTTAGAGTAGACTAATTTTTACCACTAAAACTTTGCACCTTCTAAGAACCTGCCTATAGGCCAGTAAGAATATTCTTAGGATCATGCTATATGTCTTTCAAGCAAGTTCTTTAGAAGAAATATAGCATGATCCTAAGAATATTCTCACTGGAAGGTTTAAAAAACATTCTTAGAATAAAGTGTGCTATCAGGGTTAACAATGATGATCATTGCTTGTTATGGTCAGTGCATAGCACAATTCCGCGCGCTCAAAACTTAATTCTTCCAGGGTAATGATGTTTTAGGTATTCAAGCTCAATGCTGCCAATGGAGGAAAAATACCTGAAACAGTTCTTAGAAAAGCGCTGGCAAGACAAGGAAAAAACTCTCAAGGAGTTTCACATGACCGGACAATTTTTGCACGGTAAACTCCAAAAAAATCCCAACACTTGGGAGTTATGGTTTGCCCTCACATTTTGGTCCCTGCTTCCATACGTGGCCCTCTACTTTTTTTTCACCGTCAACCATTTTAGAAACATAGTTATTTACCATTCTATTTTGCTACTTTTGATAAATTTTTTGGCGGATGGATTTCAAATGTTCGAAATCGCTTTGTACAATATGAAAAAGTGTTTTTATAGGAAAGGAAATAAGGAGCATTTTTAAAGTTGTGTATGTTGTTGGATAATTTCCAAGTCATTTTAAAGAGGTATTAGATTTAAAAAATCCAAAAATTAAGCTAAAATATATGGGTGATTCTACAAAAGTTGGGCAACTTTTGACCTCATTTTGTTTATATAGTTTTCGGAGAAAATTAAACAGTATTTTGTTATGAAAAAATAGATAATATAATAAATATACTGTTCCAGACCGGGCCAGTCACTTTTTCAAACAGTTTCTGAAATATCTGCGTTTTCTAAATTTGAATGCAAGGGAAGTGACGAGTATACCAGGGTACTAATTAAATACATAATTTATTGCAAAATATAAGATTTATTACAACTTTGAGCATATTCAGTGGCGGCTGGTGGATTTTGAGTATACCGATATCTCAATTATTAGATATGGAACCCACACCAAATTTATATGAGTTTATAATGACATTAAATAAACAAGTTCTGCGCAAGCAGAATTTAAATTGAAGTTTGCGAAAAAAATATAACCGAAATATCGACATGTAACTGACGAAACGGATACAAATTTGAGATTATAATTCGGAATTAAGTATTTTACTGATATTTTTTATTAGTGGATGCTACTTATCAACAAATCACATATAGCCGTATATTAATTACAATGAAATATATATACGTAAGAAAATAACTACTCACCACAGTACTGAAATTTTGACTGAAACTATACATGCATTCACCACAACTTCGCCGCTTGCATTGTTTTCAAGATGACTGTCGTGCAAAGGGCGGGCTCTGTAGGTAATTTTTTACCAACACGTTAAAAGGAGGACTTGACGTTTAAAGTTCAATATTTCGCAGGAATTTTGAATTTTAACATTGGACACAAAACTGACGGGTAAAAGTGAGTACAAAGATTGTCAATTTTTTAAAAATTGCTATTATTCGAATCTATGATTAAATATGAAAAATACATTATTTAATGTTTTATAGTTGTAGTAAAATTGAAAAATTTAAGATAAATTGAATATATTTTAAAATAAAATCACTCAAATATTTGATTCAGGAGTTGTGACACGCCAAGGTACTGATGTTTTGAATGTTTATTATGTTTTTCTACAAACGTGCTTTTGAAAAAATACATTAAAATTGGGTGGACAAGTTTAAAAAACCTGGATCTTTTGTAATATACTAACATATTTACAAAAAATATTAAAATACCTACTCTATTGACTGATGACATCAAGTTGTCCAACTTTTGTAGAATCACCCATATAAGACAAAGATGTATGGTGTTCTTCATAGATGAATATTCAAGATTGATGTACATATGGTTGCCTAGGTACCAAACACGATGAGTTCGTTGAAAACGCGTGATAATAAGGTGTAGTAAAATATTAATATTAAGATAGGCAATATGCACATGGAACGATGTACTTTTTTTTATAAAGCTTAACAGACTGGATAAAAACATTAAAATAATTTTTTAGTATTTTAACATAATAAATAATAACTCCGTAACCAAAAGAGCAAATCAATTTTTTTTGCCACACATAGGTACGTAGTTTTTTACGTAAATTCAAATTTTATAAAAAAAGTACATCTTTCCATTGAAAAATCCAAAGTTACCCCTCGCCCCTCAAAATGGGGTGGAGAGGGTAAATTTTAAAAATATGTCTAAATATGTCCCCCGTGTCCCCAATACTTCACAAAAAAAAATTAAACCGTTTTTAAGATTTTGCCTTGTAACACTTTAAAAAACTCACCCTGTATATTCCCGTAAGGGGGCCATGTTAAAAGTCCCACTTGTTATCTTTTGAACGAAATCTATTCAAACAGGTGGATTGGTAGGCGTGGTCCCACCGAATGGACGGCTCGGGCTCCTGATTTGAAGGTCTACATCACCGTAATGGATGATCTAAAATAACGGTTTAGTACTTAATAAATTAAAACAAAAATGATTTAATAATTTATGGTTACAGTCGTTCAAAAGATAACAGGGTGGACTCATTACAATCTCAATATTAACATAAATAATTTAAATGATTAAAACATAATAAAAATTAAAATTAACTTTTATATACGATGATAAAAGTTCATGGTACAAAACAGTATGTATCGATTTTAAATCGATTATGTATATATTAATTATAATAATTAATAATAATTATTATAATAATTTATTTTTTTAGTAAATATGCACGAACTAAGTAACTAGTAATAACTATAGAAATAAATATTAATTTAATTATAGCTATAGTAATTAATAAATAATCTTTTACGACATAAGTATTGTAATTTCAAGTATGTTTAATACTATCCCTGATAGCAAAATTTGATTTTAAGAATCTTCTAAGAAGATATTCTTAGAACCTTCCCTTATTGCTAAGAATGTTCTAAGGGACTTTTAAAACATTCAATAGATACCCTTTTAATGATGCAATTAGATTCTTAAAAGCTTCTTAAAACCGTCCTAAAAAGCATCCCAACAACATTTTAAGAATACGTTTTTGGAATGTTCTTGGAAGGTTTCTTATGGAGCTTCTAGGAAGCTTTTAAGAATATTTCCAAATATGTCAGATACCCACGTTCTAATATGTTGTATTCTACATTCGTAAAATTCTTCAGGAGACGACAAATACGCCTCACTATCATAATATGACAGTGAAATGTATTTGTCGTCCCCTTAAAAAATTTTGCGACATATTAATATATATTTATTTAAAAATATTAAATAAACAATTTGACCTCTAAACCATAAGTTGTATGACATTATTTCATAAAAAGTAAAATTGGAAAATTTTGTGGAATAAGTCAGATTAGATTGAAGTTGAAGATATTATACATAAAAATGTTAATTCAGAAATAAAAAATCGGTATACAAATTATTAAATATTTATTTTTAACATAAAATAAAATACCTATAGTAAAAGTACTTTTGTTATCGAATATTGTTTTAATTTGACAAATAACTATAAAAAAATATTTTGTATTGTGTTTTTTACTTAGTATTTAATACTTATTACTAATTAGGTACTTAATTATAGGGATATACCTTTATAGGTAGTTTATGGTATATTTTACTATTATATAGGTAACTGAACTAAATATGCTTAACAGGAATATTCCTAAATGAACTTTATATAGCAATTACTTTCCTAACATTCTAAGCATCTGTTTAGAGTAGACTAATTTTTACCACTAAAACTTTGCACCTTCTAAGAACCTGCCTATAGGCCAGTAAGAATATTCTTAGGATCATGCTATATGTCTTTTAAGCATGTTCTTTAGAAGAAATATAGCATGATCTTAGGAATATTCTTACTGAAAGGTTTAAAAAACATCCTTAGAATAAAGTGTGCTATCAGGGATATAGCATTATAAAACCATTTTTTAACCTAAAACTAAACCATTTTATTTGTATAAATAAACATGTGTTTTTTAGTAAGGTTAAAAATTTAGTATGATAAAGTATCTAACCAAAATAAAATAATTTATTTTGAATGTTTAGTTAAACTTTTTGTGGCTTTGCTCATCTTGCCAAAATAAAGTGACACTTAAAATTGTACATAGAAAAAAATTAGTACATAGAAAAAAATTAGAATAGATAATATACCAACTCCCAAAAATGTATTATTTAAAATAATTTTTGAATACGAAATATTTTTGCAAAAATGGTGAATGCGCTTTACAAAAAAGTCTCCTGATTTGACATCATATGATTTTTGTATATGGGAATACCAATAAATAATATTTTACCAATACAGAACATTTATAAAATTATTTTGTTTGAGAATTATTTTAAATAAAAATCTTGGAACAATAGTTTTAAGATATCGATACATACATTAAACCACAATCCACACACAGATAAAAAAATGAACTTTACCAAAAATTACGAAGTAACATAAAAATCGCCGCCGTTAGAGTCTGTGCAGTTGTTGTGTGGATTGGGCATTGAACATTTCAAATTTCTAAATTTTGTCCACTCACTTAAAAATCACCCTATAGATACTCTAGATTATAAGGAAATTATTTATTAAATAATCTTAACTGTATTATACATGTGAATTATCGTGCCAAATATGACAACAATGTATAGATTTAAAATTAGCTCTAATATTATATATACATACATAGTTAAAAATACATTCTGTAAAAAAGTATGTAACTATAGTTAGAACCTTACCTTAAGTTTAGGCTTAAATTTATAATATTAAATATATTTCTAAGTAAGTAAATAAATTGTGTATAATTTGTCCAGAAAATACCTTCTTGAAATACCACCTTTTTTCATAGCGATGTAACATTAAGAAATTTAATTCATTTTTGTAATGAAGGTAAATTTAAACAAAATCTGGCAACTTTTATGACAGAATCCAGTGCATTTCTTTCAAATTTTAGGTTATGGGCCCAAATTGTAAATATCTTAACTAAGGGAAGTGCTTTTGGATTTATTTACACAAATTGAATGTTAAGTTTAACCTAATTTCATCTGAGTAAACAAAAGGAAAAAAAATCGATGAAAAAATTAATTTTGTGGTTATGGAGTTTTTAAAATAGGTACAAAATTTTTTAATCATTGCATATATTACATTAATTACATAGCACCTGTATTTTATATTTCTGTTATTAAATCACAAAACGTAAATGACACGTATTTGTTAATTTTGACACAATTATAAAACTTATTACCTACCTACTTATTTTAAAACTCTATTTTATAGCTGTAATTAACAAAGTTATTTTAATTTGTAATAATTAGGAAATTTCATATCTAAAAATGTGTAATAAAATATGTTGTAAAAATTATAATGTACCTACTATTCTGAACAAATCAATAAATTTATTTTGTGCTTTTGGGGAGAAAATTAAACAGTATTTTGTTATGAGAACATAGATAATATAATAAATATACTGTTCCAGACCGGGCCAGTCACTTTTTCAAACAGTTTCTGAAATATCTGTGTTTTCTAAATTTGAATGCAAGGGAAGTGACGAGTATACCGGTACTAATTAAATACATAATTTATTGAAAAATATAAGATCTATTGCAACTTTGAGCATATTATACATTAAATATCTTAAAATCAAATAATACCACACATCAGTGGCGGCTGT